TTGTGCAGCAACCAGAAGAAGTGGACATGACTGTATTTGAATAAACGTATATTGTTGTACATGAAAAAAAGTAAAATATCCCCTTAAAATAAGCCCTCCATGTCTAGTCACGCTGGCCACATGACCACAGAGGATTGTCTGTGGACAAATGCTAGCTCTATGGGTTGGAAATGGAGATGAGTACCGCCGCCTAGAGTCGGACATAACTGGACAAATTGTCAAGGGGAACCTTTACCTTTACCTTTACCTTTACCAAATGTGTTTTTTGGAGCAAAATATAATGTAAGACCCTGTCTTATTTTCAGGGAAACATGGTAGTCACCCTGCCCATTGTATCACACTAGCACTCACAGATACATGTGACTACCCTATTTTTGTTATTTTTTCCCAGTCAGAAAGTACACGTCAGGCCTCTGGCATTGCACTCGTTTCATGATATCAAGATTAGCTAAAAAAGGAGACATCCTGAACCACAGCACAGAAGGCTACCTTCAGTTACTCACAGGTGTATGGTTGAATAATATGATTGATTATTTTACCTACAAAGCCCAAGCACACCAGTACGTGGCATGCAGTGTGAGCTCAGAACTTGGGAACATTGTTTTTTAAAAAAGGTAGTGGTTGTGCAACTCATTATCTCTCAGCAGCCAAATTGCCATTATTATTGCTCTGGTGGTGCAAGAAATTCATGTCATTAACATGTGCCTTGTGGTTTCCAGCAGACTAGAAAAGCACAGGGAAACACTTTTTAGTTCTCTCCTGTGGCTAATTCTGATATTCGTTGCTATGTACCTCCAGCTCACTTCCAACTTTTGACAGCCCTGTGAATTAATGAATGTCTTGCAAATCTTTACTAACGCTTTCCAAATATTTAGCAAATGTTTGCAAGAACTGCTGGAGAGCTCAGTGGTTTAGGACGAAGCCAGAGGTTGGGAGTTCAATTCCTCCACTGTGCCTCCTTGAGAGGGGATGGATTTGATGATCCCCAGGGTCCATTCCAGCTCTGCAGTTCTAAGGCTGTTGTTAAAAGCACGAATGGCAAAAACAAATACAGTATTTCTTTTGCTACTTAGGTCTAATAAAAGAGTGACATACAACTGGAAATTCTTCACAAAGTGCCACCATTGAAATGCCTTAATATGCCATTTAAAAATAATGCTGGAAAGGAACCCAAAACACTACTCATTGCATCCAAAATATATCTTTGTAGTTATTTGTTACACTAACTGTAACATTGTAGCTGTCCATCAAAGTACTCAAAAAGTAACTACTTAATCCCAAGCTCTCTATTAGCTCCATATTTCAAAGTACAGTGGTGCCTCGCCTGACAATGTTAATTCGTTCCAGTGACATGGCTGTAGACTGAAAACATCGTAAACTGAAAATAAAAAACACATTGAAATGCATTAAAACCCAGTTAATGCATTCCAATGGGCTAAAAACTACTGTCCAGCGAAGCTCCTCCATACGGCGGCCATTTTCTGTACCTGTATAGTGAGGAATGCATCCCTAAGCACAGCGGGGAGCCATTTTGTGCACCCAGCGGCCATTTTGAAAACCCGACAATCAGCTGTTTTGATCGTCGTAATGTGAAGATCGGTTCCCTGCTTCGGGAACCGATCTTCGCAAAGTGAAAAAAACCCATTTGAAACATCATTTTGCGGTCACAATTGCAATCGCAAAAATCTAATCGGCAAGCGATTTCCTCGTTAAACAAGGCAATTGTTAAGCGAGGCACCACTGTAATATGATTTCAATGGTCTACCCACCATGGGTATGCTTCCCTTACCAGCGTAGTCACCACTTTGTGCATGTTGGCTCACTCCCTCTTGGCAATACTTCTGCACTTCAAAATGGCAGGGTGGAAGGACAAGCTCAGGGGATACTGAGGACTAGAATTAACTCCCAGTAGGATTTGGGTTCTCAGTACTTAGTGGTGTCCCACTCCTGATTGGAGGTTGGGTGTGGTAAGATAATGTGCTAACCAGCTCACACAGGAGACTCAGCCACATAACAAATCCAGACAGTTTTTGTTTCTTCTTCTTCTTCTTCTTCTTCTTCTTCTTCTTCTTCTTCTTCTTCTTCTTCTTCTTCTTCTTCTTCTTCTTCTTCTTCTTCTTCTTCTTCTTCTTCTTCTTCTTCTTCTTCTTCTTCTTCTTCTTCTTCTTCTTCTTCTTCTTCTTCTTCTTCTTCTTCTTCTTCTTCTTCTTCTTCATCATCATCATCATCTGCAGTCAAGTCAATTCTGACTTATGATGCCCTTTTCCAAGATTTTCAAGATAGAGAAATGGTTTACGATTCTCTTCTGAGGATGCCCTGGGACTGTGTAGCTTGGCCCACTGACAGGAGGCACCATGGGGAATCAAACTCCCAGCCCTTGACTCCATAGTCAGACAGTGAAACCACTGAGCTAAGTGACCTTGAAAAACCACCAAGATTTTCCAGCAAGTTTTCATCTATCATCAGGATGAGAGACTACTGTTAGCTCATGGCTGTAAATCATTGCCAAGAAATGTAAAGCTTTTGGCATCTTACCTGAGATTAATTTGTCAACTTCTGTAATTTTTTTTGTTAGTTTGTTTCTGTGTTTCCTTCTTTCTGGTTCTTAAATTAATTCTTATTCCAAGGCTCATCTCCCACAATACCTCGGGCTGGCTAAGCAAATCATACATAAACAGGTGTTTCGAAAAGGTAGTTTTAAATATATAATGGGGTCAGAAGACAGCTTATTAAACTGACATGCTGAAAGAAGTCAGCATCAAAACAACACAAATCATTCAATTTAGCATACAAGTCATTTCATCCACTGAAGACTCCTTCATTATTCCAGCTCTGAATTTCTAAGATTATTATCATTATTATTATACCTGTCACGCATATTGCCACCTTGGGCAACGCCAAAGGCAATTCATTACTAGCTTTTTGTTCTTAAAATGATAAATGCACTATTAAAAAAAAGAAGATAATCTGGTTGGGGCTTTGGCCCTGGGCTGTGTGAGAACATAATATTTTCGTAAACAGTTTGCTCTGATTATAGCAGAACTTGGAAACATTACTGTTTGAGACTATGATCTCCAGATTCCCCAGATAATGTGGCAGCAGCAACGAGGAGCTATGCAGCCCATCTTCCCCCTCCCGCTACATTCAATTCTCTTAATCATGTTTTCTTTACTTGCCAGGGAAATGTGTTGGGGAATCTGATGAAGTGGGGAAAATGCTTCCAAGATGGGATCTCAATTTATTTATTATTTATTTAAAATATTTATATGCTGCCTTTCTCCTAAAGCAGGGTTTCCCAACCTGGGAAGTGTTTTCTGGGGAGTTGTAAGTTGCCCGATACGTGTTGCAGCTCTTGTTAAATAATTCCTTTAATATTGACCTTTTAGAGCCAGATATTAAAGTTAGTGTGTATGTGCATGTTTGAGAAAATGTCCTTTGGGGGAGAAAGACGTCTCTACTTTCGGAGAAGAGATGACTTTTTAATGAAAATGTGTGGGGGTGGGGGTGGTCACAGGTCACTTGGCTATTATAACACGGGGATGATGACTTGAAACAGGTTGGGAACCACAGTCCTAAAGGATCCTAGGGGGCTTACAGTATGAAAAGAGACAAAGTTAAAAGCCAAATAATAAATTATTACAATATTCAAAAAGCCTTAAAACAAATATCATATTAAAACTCATAATAAGAGCAAGATTAAAATTACAAGTAAAACACAGAATAAAATGATCCTTTAAAAAAATCCCCTTGGACAACCAGTAATTTCAAAGAAAGCCTGCTTGAAGAGAAAGGTCTTTGTCTGCTTGTGGAAGAACAGCAAAGATGGGGCCAGGCTGGTGCTTCCTCTGATCATCTTGCAGAGGGGCAGGGGAAGTGAATCTTTTTTGAGTCTGTCTGTCTGTCTGTCTGTGCCATTCTGTTTCTTTTTTCTTTCTCCCTGCTTCCCTTTCCTCATTCTCCCCCTACATTCTTTCTCCTTCCATAGAAACTGCAGCCACAAAGGCAGAGTCTGCTGGAGACTACTACAGTATCTCTAGTCTAGACAATGAGCACGTGAAAAAGAATGCATGCATTACCACTGGGCCATAAAGGTGTACAATAGCCCTTAAAGGGGAAGGATGGGTCATTCTATATAGAAACACTTGTGGATGAGGGCTTTTCTTTGCAATCCAAACCATGCCACTAATGATCCATAAACTTTATCTATGTACCAGTGTGGAGAGCCCCTGAGAAGCAGGAACAGAAATTATGTACAGCGACTGAGGGTCCTTTTGGCCCAGCACTGGCTAGAATGAAAAGGGAGAGTTCTCTCTTCTCTCTAGGGGTAATATTAAAATATAACAGAAATAGGACCAATGATATACACAGCCTGAGAACTTTTCATGGATTACGTGGATTCTGGTAATATTATACATGCAACGGTAGAAACATTTGTGACAGATAACCCATGATGATTATATTTTATACAGATTGAATGGAATAGACTCTATTTTGGATTATGTCAAACATAGGGAATTAGTTTGTGAACAATATTAAATTAAAATCAAAAATATATTTTATTTGGAATACATTAATTTGTGGATAATATTCATAATGACAGGCATCACTACAATAGGTGGAAAAATTGAGATTTTTTTTAAAAATAGAACAGATCAGGTACATAGTGTTAAAAATGAAGATATAGATGGATTTTTTTTCTTCATTTGAAAAAATAGACACATGGCTGGTAGGTCTGAAATACAAGGTGCTAATTCTGTTTAAATGACTGATTTTCTGGACAAGAAAAAACAGAAAAATATCTAAAATAGCTTAAACAGGGGAACCATTCAGAACATTGAAGGTTAAGGTGTTTGGCTTCAGTACAATTATGATATCATCCTGATCACTATGTGATTCCTGATAGAGTGGGATCACCCAAATGATGACTACAAGCACGTCTCTCATACATAGGAAGGAGTTCCTCCATCTCAGTTGTCCCCATTTGCCCTCAGTGATTCAGCTCATAACGAAATCTGTTTGGCTGTCATTGCATGGTGACATCATTCCATTCACCACACAATCCTGGTAGGGTGTGGTGACCTTCAGAGGCAGGAGAAAGGAACACCTGTCAGGAATAAACATGGCACTGAAGCAGAATGTGCCAGGGAAAAAATAGTTTCCCCAGCTATGCCTTTTCTCCAGGTGAGCCACATTTAGATGCCTGTAGGTGTGGGTCTGTCAGAGAAAACTCCAACAATGAATTATCGGATTTTTAGTCCCAAAACACCAAAAAGTCCATGCCTTCCAGTTATCAGATGGTAACTCCATGCTCTTTCTCCATTGGCTATGATGGGTAGGTTTCACTGGAATAGTAGGCCAAAGACATCTTGAGGGATGTAGTTGCCTATTCCGGTTTTATAACCTTAAATTGTGTGGGGCCAGTTCAACTGAAGGTCTCATCTCCTATATATTTCCATGAAACCAAAGCTTATTTATGTATTTTATTTATTTGATTTGTATCCCGCCCATCTGGTCTATACGACCACACTAAAACAATAAAATAACACAAAAATTATCATCTGAGGAAAGCAGGATGCCCCTGCCAAATGTTAGCAAAGGGTAATATTATAAGAGTGAAGGTTTTCAGGGAACCGCTGTCCCCAGATGTGCTTGTCTTCATACCAGATGAAGCTTTATTTTCATTGTGTTTTAGTGTTTCTGTATCTTTTTCACTTTTCACTCTTTACTGCTGCTTTTACTCTGGTTTTATCAGGTTTTATTGTCATTGTTTCCTGCCTAGAGATGGGCCTGAACCTCGGTTTGGAGGTTTGCGCCAGTTAGTATGCGCGGCACCACAGCTGCCATATGTTCCCTTCCCCCACCTCCCCGGCTGGCTCCCCCCCACTCACTAGCTGGCACGCGCTCAGTATGTGCGGCACCACAGCTTCCATATGTTCCCTTCCCCCCACTTCCCCGGCTGGATCCCCCCCACTCACTAGCTGGCACGCGCTCCTCTCCTCCTCCTCTTTGGCTGTTCAGCCAGTCCCTGGCAGGGGCATGGGGTTGCCTGTCCCGCCTCCTTGTCTGAGTAGGCGATCAGCCAAGGACTGTCTGAACAGCTGGAGAGGAGGAGGAGAGGAGCGCATGCTAGCTAGTGAGTGAGGGAATCCAACCAGGGAGGTGGGGGAAGGAAACTTATGAACCGGCACAAATCTCTGAACCAAGCTTTGTGCCCATTCCTGTCATATCTTATTTTGTGAGTTAAATTCAATTGTTAGTTCCAGTTAAGTAGGATCATTGAACCAATAGGACTTCCATAAGGATTTCATATACCAAAGTCCTTGTTGATAAAATGGAAAGCTTCTTCTTTGTTTTCTTCTTGTTACTTTTTCAGTTCTGCTAAGGATCATGTGCTGAATGGAATGATGTCACAAAGTAATAACAGCTAAACAGATTTAATTAAGAGCTGACATCACTGGGGGCAAACAAGGACACTGAGATGCACAAACTGGGGATTAGATTTAGTGCAGTGATTTTAATCCACCCGTATACTGCCCAGAGAGTCTACAATTGTTGGCCACCTTTGAATACTGTATATATTAAATACATAATGATCTAAATTGATTCTTACTTTTTCTGTTCCAGATACTTATTCATCCCGTTTTCATCATGGTAAGTTCTCACTTAGCTCAACCAAGACACTAAACTTCTTAAATTCTTTGCATACAAAAGTACCTGAAAAAAAAACATGATATGGATGTCTGTATAGTAATCTTTGGTTAGGGCTGACCCTATTATTATGTACAGTGAGGCAGCTTCCTCAGGCAATAGGAAGCTGCCTCATTGACGTGAACATAGGAGACAGAGCTATGGGGCTGCATGGCTTGCTATAATTTGCACCATAATATGCTTCCCTTCCTGCATCAACAGCTCTGATGTAAGATTCACTAGCCAGTCTGCTCAACTTTCATATGTGAAATGAGGAAAGTTTACTGACATTTATATCAGGCTCAGAAATGTATCAGGCCCCAGACCAAAGGAATCATATGGGTTCATTAAATGCCCCTTCCCTTTGATAATTAGGCTGCTGCATTTCCATATCAGCTGAAGTTTCAGGACACCTTTGAAATACACCTCAATGTTTAGCACATTGAAGTACATTTAGAGGCAATATACAGTGGGTTCCCCATATCCACTGGATCTGTATCCATAATTTCACTTATTTGCGGTCTGAAGATATTGAAAATATTAAAATCAAAATACATGAAATTAAAATAAAAATACATAAAATACCTGAAATACATGTTGAACATCATGCAGTTACCAGAAATGGCCACGAGAAGGAGCCAGAAATGGCCATAATTTCTCCTAATCTCTTGCCAACTGGAGGCGATTCCCTCTATCTCCTGAGCAACATTGCCGCCAGCCACCCTTGGTTATTATCCTCACAGGTACAGGGAGAGCCCTGGGTCCACCAGATTATAAGGTTTGCTATTGTTGGTGGTTTTCAGTATCTCTCTGTGTGGGTACTTGGAGCTGACCTTCCATGGATACAGGCGTCCTACTATATTTAAGACATGGGTCAATGTGGCCTAATCTGCAGGCTGCATGTGCTGTTTTGTTTAAAGTAATCTGTTCTTCTCTTTCCCCAGTATGTGGGCGACCAAATGTTCTGAACAGAAATGTTGGGGGTGAGGACTCTGTAGAAGGCGAATGGCCATGGCAGGCCAGCGTGAAGAAGCTGGGCAAGCATATATGTGGAGGGGCCCTCATCACTCATAACTGGATTGTCACAGCAGCACATTGTTTTCGACTGTGAGTAATGCAGGACAAGTGATTGTCTTTAGACCATTGGGCTCCTTTCTTCTTGATCTAACTCCTCTTTCCTCCAGTTTTTCAGTATTCAATTTGCAATGGAACTAGTCATTTTATCCCAGTAGGGGAATCTCAGAGGTCTATTTTCTTCCCTCTCCTAAAATTCACACTGTAATGATTTAAAATGGTTGTGAATAACCAAGAACTGCATCTAAATGAAGAGAAAACAAAAGGATCATTGCATGTGGGTTTATGTGTTCTTCTGGGAAGTGTGAATTGGAATGGTTTGCTTCTCTCTTAGCTCTTATTTGTTTGTTTGTTTTTTGTTTGTTTTTTGTTTGTTTGTTTGTTTTTTTGTTTATTTATTTATTTATTTATTTATTTATTACCCCCAGATCTCCCATCTGTCAGGTAGAAGGAAATTTATTTATTTATTCATTTATTTATTTATTTAACTTATATGCCGCCCAGACTACCCGAAGGTCTCTTCTTATAAGGGCTTGCGCAGTCCGTTTGTGAGACCAAAGTCCAGTTCATCAGGCTAATCAGGTTCATCAGCAGGAGCTGTCTTAATGAATTTGGAAAGAAATTCAGGTCTTATGAGAACCTGAGGTGCTGCCTATTGCGTCTTTTAAATTCTCATCAGAGGGAATTTAAAAAACTTGCATTGAATTACTGCATGGGAATTCTCATGTACTGAAGGTTAACAGCAGGATCAGGATTAGTAGAACATTTACATGTATTGTATTTTCTGAAACCATTGATAATCCCAGTGTTCTCCCATAATGGGGCCAACCTATGACAACCTTATTTCATGGCTCACTGGAAAACAGGATGTTCCATTTTCCCTATTACAATACATGGCTTAGTTTTTAAGACACAAGTTTATCTAATGTCAATACAACGAATTTGCTGGAACAATTTTTTTTGCCCTAGCCATTTCGTCTTCAAAACAAACATCTAAATCTCTCAAGTGTCTGACATTTGGGGTGATTGCATCACTCCTCAGCTAACAATGTCCTTAAACAGGTATATCTAGTTTGGCGTGAATTCTGGAACATAATGCGTTGCTAGTGATCTAAAATGCCCTGTTCAACTTGGTCATGGCCAGAAGACAAATCTAGAAGGCTTTGGTACTAGCTGGCCATGCTAGCTTTCAGTTTTGAAGGGAAAGCTTTCAGTCTTGGTCAGAAGCTAGTATGAAGTATTGGAGCCTCCATCAGCTTCTCGGGAGCTTGGACAATCCTTATCTGTCTGTACTAGCAACCCTGAAACTTTGAATAAATGAGTTATGTTTCTCTATAATTTGGACTGAATGTATTTATCTTCCAAACAGCCACTTCAAACTGATTTGTAGCTTGTGGGCCTCAACTTGTTTCTGAATTTTTGGAAGTTTTAAAATTTATTTCTATGGGTTTAATAATTAAAAAACCCCAATGAAAATGAGGGAAATGAAGGATTTGACGTGGGGGTGATAGTATTGCAAACTACTGCTGGACCTTTGATGTACTGGCGAAGCTGTCAGTAGTTTAATTTCCTTCCTGCTTACTCTCCCAACTCTGATATGTGCGATTTACTAAAATTTACTCAACAAAAATGCTTGTTGAAGGGGGAAGGAAATCTCCTGGTTAGTAGCTTTGCTGCCTTAGCAAATAGAGTACCTGATTTCATGTTTGTCTTCTAAACTACAGCACAGGGAGACATGCACACATAAAAAAGCAGTGTAAATAAAAGATAGTGGCAGGCATAAAAAAAGAATAGCAAATGAAGTGTGTATTTGTGTGTGTATGTGTGTGTGAGCGAGCGAGCGAGCGAGCGAGCGCGCGAGTGAGCGAGTGAGTGAGCGAGCGAGTGAGAGCTTAGATCCTGTTCCTAATGCTAATGTGACCTAGCCCACTCAAATTCCACATGAGATCTGTGGCATGTTCATATACACAGGTACTCAGTTGATTTGATTCTAAAGTGGAATGCAAAAGATGATCTGCAGCTACCTAAAAGAATGAGCGAGTGAGCGAGCGAGCGCGCGAGTGAGCGAGTGAGTGAGCGAGCGAGTGAGAGCTTAGATCCTGTTCCTAATGCTAATGTGACCTAGCCCACTCAAATTCCACATGAGATCTGTGGCATGTTCATATACACAGGTACTCAGTTGATTTGATTCTAAAGTGGAATGCAAAAGATGATCTGCAGCTACCTAAAAGAAAAGAAAAAGATACTTCAATGCACACGTACACCTGCTGAAAATGAAAGCAATGCAAATGACAATCTCTAATAGATTATCTCCCTTCCTTCACTCTGACTGTGCTAAACCGTGAAATGCACTGATCACAGAACAACATAATTTATTTGGTTGATCTGAGCCTTCTCAGGCAGTTTTTTGGGATTAAAGTGTTAATTTCATGTTCCAAATGAGATTCACTGGCCCAAGCATTTTTTGAATTTTTCCTTGCTGTTGAAAGGGGAAAGTCAAAACAATATTTGGTGTTTTAGAGAGCATTGATTTGAGTTTTACACCAGTTTGGACTTCTTGCTTTGGATTGGTTTGGAAACTGATAAGTACTCTGGTTTTGTTTTGCATTCCAAATGATTTCTGGACTCAAAGAGCATTCCTTATAGATATTTCTTAGTTGAAGATATCTCTGTAGTGCTGTTTTCAATATTCAAAAGGGAATTGAACATAAACATACCTTAGAGAACATACCAGAGAGCTGGGCTTTTTAAAAGCTGTTCTGACCTTATCAGATCTAGTGGCTCAGGTTCTGCAACTTGTTTTAATTAGCCTGAAGAAGAAATGTTTGGCAAACTGGCGTGTTGTGATGTGGCAAGACTTGTTCTCTGAGAACAAACTATAGATACTGATGGTTGTTGTGGGTTTTTCGGGCTCTTTGGCCGTGTTCTGAAGGTTGTTCTTCCTAACATTTTGCCAGTCTCTGTGGCTGGCATCTTCAGAGGACAGCACTCCAGAGCACAGAAAAACCCACAACAACCATTAGATCCCGGCCGTGAAAGCCTTTGCGAATATATAGACACTGAGCTTTAGGACTAAGGTCTAAGGTCAGTTGTTACTTCCACTTAGAACGGACCACTGGATCAATGAGATGTCCAGAAGCGTTGAATTAGGTCCCATTCAGTCAATGGAACTACTCCAGCTGTGACAAACAATGGGATAAAGGTAAAGGTTCCCCTTGACATTTAGTCCAGTCGTGTCTGACTCTAGGGCACGGTGCTCATCCCTGTTTCCAAGCCATAGAGCCAGCGTTTGTCCAAGGACAGTTTCCGTGGTCACATGGCCAGCACAACTAGATATGGAAAGCCGTTACCTTCCCACCGAAGTGGTACCTATTTATCTACTTGCATTTTTACGTGCTTTCAAACTGCTAGGTCGGCAGGAGCTGGGACAAGCGATGGGAGCTCACTCCGTTGCGTGGATCCACTCTTACGACTGTTGCTCTTCTGGCCCTGCAGCACAGAGGCCTCTGCGGTTTAACCCACAGCGCCACCAAGTCCCTTAAACAATGGGATAAATGGCCCTAAACATTGACAGAATGCCTCCAATAGGGGCTGCCTGTCCTACCTATGCATCCCAGGCTGGGCAACTGAGGATGCTGATCCCAAGGGAGGCCTGGAAGGAGAAAATAAGGAACTTGGCCTCCTTGGCAGTCACTCCTATGCTTTGGAATGAACTGCTGCCTGAGATTCATCTGGCCACCTCCCTGGAGATTTTTAAGAAGCCAGGTGAAACTTTCTTATTCTGGCATGCTTTCTAAATCATGCCACAACTAACAGCTCCTCTAGAATGTATGTATAACATCTTCAGCCATCTGACCAATTTTAAATTTTAATTAATTTTCACTTGTTATTTCTTTTAATCCTATGTTTTATAGTTGTCTTAGTGTTATATCTGTAAAGATTCTCAGTCATCCAGGTGTGGTTATCTGGAAGTTGAGTCATGGCAACTGGACTTCTTTCTTGTTAAACTGAAACGTTTTGCTACTCATCCAAGTAGCTTCTTCAGCCTTAGTGTCTTACACCGCCCAGAGGGACCATCACTCAGATGGGTGGTTTGGAAGTCCAATCAATCAATCAATCAATCAATCAATCAATCAATCAATCAATCAATCAATCAATCAATCAATCAATCAATCAATCAATCAATCAATCAATCAATGAACAAACAAATTTATTTATTTATTTTGTCTAAATTCTTAGAACAAAAGGATAGGGAGATGTAAGAAGTGGGATAGCTTTAATGGGTAAAAATATTGGTCCAGCCATATTGGTTCTTTCCTTTATTTGTCTGAAAATGTACAAGCCATTCTCCTGTTTGCAGATTCAAGCAGAAATGTGCATATGCATAACATTTGCATCTATGGATGCTCTCCCTTTCCTGCCTCCATTTCCAGTCTGCATGTGACTCAATGTGGAGGTGGGTGGGTGGGAGGTATAGGGTATGGTGTCTTTCTTTACTTTTTAAAAATATATATGTATGTATGTTTTAAACTACAGGGGTTGCTTGAACACATTTTCTCTATTGCCTAACACATTTAAGCAATAGTTTGTACATGTTTGAAATCAAGACACATTTCTGTGCCCACTTTTGAGCTCTACCTATTGGTCTGGATGTGTCGATATTAGAGATGCGGTTATTCGTATACGTCTAACAATGGCCCTGCACAGGTGGATATAACAAGGGTCTAGCCCCCCAGGACCAGACTGTCCACTCTCCCTTCCATTGCTGCTGTGGGCTTTGTGCTCCCTTCCTATCACTCTGAAGCTCGCGCTCAACTAGCCACCCTTCAACCTGGCAGGGAGGCTTGTCATCCCGCCTCCTGCCAGGAGTGGCTAGTTGACTGTGAGCTCCAGAGCATGGAGCCCGCAACAGCAGTGGAAGGGTGAGTGGACAATCCAGCCACAGGGAGTCAAACCCTCATTTTGTCCACCTGTGCAGGGGTATTCATATATGATACAGATACAAATACCCACATCTCTAGTTGATATCTTCCATTGAAGTTCCAGAGCACAAATTGCTTACATGCTACAGAAAGGCTGGGAAGTACTGACCAAGATGGGTCTGTTAGACTTTGACTTTAGATCAGATTCTTCACATACGCTTAAATTCAAAACAATATGAATGATTTCTCGAAGGCTTTCATGGCCCGGATCTGATGGTTGTTGTGGGTTTTTCGGGCTCTTTGGCCGTGTTCTGAAGGTTGTTCTTCCTGACATTTCACCAGTCTCTGTGGCTGGCATTTTTGCATTATAACACCCAACAATAGTTTCCTCCTGATCCTAATGAAGCAGACTACAAATAATTGTAGCCATGTGATCCTCATACTCATTTTTACCCACCTTTTGCAGAGATGACGATCCCTCCCAATATACTGTGTTGCTGGGAGCCAGTAAATTGGAGAACAACTGGTCCAACAAGCAGTCCATAAGGGTTAAAAGCATCATCAGAAATCCCCGGTATGCAGGAGAAGCCACAAGTGGAGATATTGCCTTGGTGCGGTTGGTTTACCCCGTGAGATTCACTGATTATATCATTCCAATCTGTGTTCCTACAGCGAATGTCAACTTCCCCCCAGGCATGAAATGCTGGGTCACTGGGTGGGGAGACATCAGTGAAGGACGTGAGTATTGTTAGAGGAAGTAACCCTTCCTTGTCCAGGAATGTGCAAAAACATACATCAACTTCAACTTAGGAAACCTGTTTCTAAGCCTACTTGTAATCTATTCTGTCTATACTGCTCAGAGAACTATAAACAGTTCGGTGAGATTGAGTCATAGAGTTGGGAGTTTTCAAAGTGGTAGGGAGCCATGTTATTCTGTGCAAGTAGAGCAGACAAGAAACAAAACAAAACAAAAGCAAAAATTCTGGAAAAGAAACCCTGTAGAACAATACAAAGGGAAAACGCTGGAATAAAATATATACAGATGTTGGGGACCATCTTAATGGGTTAAATATCAGTCAAGGGAAATACCACAGTGATATCCTTTGATTTGTATTTGTGCATTGATCCAGGGGTTGGACTCAATGGCAATATAAGCCCATTCCAACGTCATTATCATATGATTTTATAATTGTGGCAGCTCTGCTGTTGTTATTCATAGCCTGATCCTTTGCCAAGAAACACTTTGTATAGAACAAGGCTGCAAAAGGCAAAGAAACCCACTTTGAAAGGGCTGAATATCAATTAGGAGTTTTAAATCATTACCAAGTGTGAAATTCCACATTGACTCACACAATTTGCAACTTGTGTCTACTATACTAACCAACCATTGTAGCGTTGTCCTTCTGTATCCCTAACTGGTCATGGGACTGTCATGTCTGAGAAAGAGGACATGATCCATGAAAACTCACATTAAAAGATAGCAGCTAGCTTTTAAGGTGCCACAATGTTTTTGTCTTTTTTGTTTTGTTTCTTTTGTTTTATTTTTGTCTGATAGAGGTGCAATTTCTTGTAAACAATTGTCAGGCCGCTATTTAAATACCTAGAGGAGAGGAGAGGTCTCACGATGCTGTCTCCTCCACACCTCGGAGACATATAGCTGCCTGCTTCTCTGGAAGCATCTGAAGAAGTGGGCTATACTCTGTGGAGGTTTATGTGAAACAAAATGTTTTAGTCTTTAAGGGATCAGAAGACACTTTGTGGTTTGTGTTGCAACCCACGATCACAACTATGCTTTGGTGAATGTCTGCATCTTTGGTTTTCCTTTAGAGGGCTTATACCTGACAATTAATTTACCACTGTGCAATTGGCCTCTTTTGACTTGTTCTTTCTGATGTCTCCTCTCACTACCTCATGTTCTTTTTTTTTTTCCAGAGGATCTACCTCCTCCAAAGAAGCTCCAGAAGCTCCAGGTGCCCATAATAGATATTCAAACCTGCAGAAGACTTTACAATATTGACATGGGTCAAAGTTTGCCCCGGAAACAAATCCAGGATGACATGATGTGTGCTGGTTATGCTGAGGGCATGAAAGACTCATGCAAGGTAAAACACTGTGCTCATCAAGGGTTACTGATATACAAAATCCACCTTCTGATTCCGAACCATCCAGAAAAAACCTTCCCTCTACCGTGGAACCCCAGAGAACTTGGAAAATCCCACTGGATTACTTATATTTCGAACCACAAGATGGTTTAGGAAGAGAAATTTTTCAACATCTCTTAGGGAGATGTTGTCCGCCTAAGCTGCAAAATTATAACTCAAGAAAGTAGTGCAGACTTATTTCCTGGAATAGGTTAGTATACTCACAGTAATTATTCAAAGGCTGATGCATGGTGAGAAAACATTTTCGGCATAGCTGGTTGCTCCAAATATAAGTAAATATTAGATCATAAAATTAAACTATAATTTATATACATTCAACTCTGTAACTGTATATGTACCACTACATACAAGTAAGCTTGCATCTACACTAGATGTTCTATAAAACAGGAATGTTGGCTGGATAGCTGGGTCGTCAAAGCTGAGAAGAACGTTTTTTGATCAAGAGAAAGCAATGTAGAGGTAAATTTGTATTGAAGAGACAGCAGAATGGAAAACATGAACAGTAAAGCAGAAAAGTACGTAGAAAGATTTCTGCTTTCCTGAAAATCAGCAAATGGGGCAATGTCTAGAATCAGAAAGTGTGCAGCAACTTCCCAGGATCTAGGCCAGTGAAATGCAAACACGGGGAAAGTTGGCTAAGCACAGGTATGATTAACAAGTAGGTGCAATTAATTCTTGTGCTGTCTAAAGCTATATAAAGTCCCAATGCTTCTAATTAAGAAGCCTAAGTATAGGCCTAGGGCAGTGGTTGCCAAACTTGGGTAACCCAGGTGTTCTTGAACTGCAACTCCTGGTCAGGGTTTCTGGGAGTCGTAGTCCAAGAATACCCGGGTTACCCAAGGTTGGGAACCACTGCTCTAAGCCTATACTTAGGCTTCTTGATTAGGAGCATCTGGATTTTGTATAGCTTTACAGAGCATAGCAATTAATTGCACCTGCTTGTTAATCATACCTGTGCTTAGCCAACTTTCCCTATATTTGCATTTTACTACTTAGCAAAATGATATCACAACATCTCGCTAATGGGCAAAATGATATCAGAACCAAGCATCTAAGTGTAAGCACATTTCAGAGCTGTCTATTTCAGATATGCTTATCACCAGTGGGCCAACCTTGAGCCTCTGGCCAGAATATCAGTGTAGACACTTTCCTGGCTTGTACTTTTCTAAATAACTTTGTCATACAGATAAAGGCATGAGAAGAGAATGGATTTTGGCATTTAGTAAGAAATCTGAAGAGAGAATTGATAGCCTCTTTCCTCTACATTTATATTCACAAAAACAACCAACACTTTCTGGGTATATCAAAGTACTGTATATAAAATGTGTCAGTGGCACCAATGAATCTGAATACAGTTTGCTTTTTGGGATTTGTAAACATTACCTAAGTTAAATGTTTACTGAGCTCATAGTTTATAATACATTAGTGTTCCCACTTGTGTCCCTGATGCAATTTTATGGTTAGAGGCAGGATAAATCACTATGGAAGCACAAATGCTGATATATAAGGTGAAAATGATGTTTTGACCTGTGCGCTTTGCCCCTTTTGACTCTAATTAACACATTTCAAACAAATTTGGAAAAGTTCACTGATGGCAAAATTACACCTTGAGGTTCTTGATTGATGTTGTACAGTCTTAAGGTTATACAAATTCTCAAGCAGCTACTACACAGCTAATTAGAGATACTGAATTTCAAAACCATGTAGGGCTGATCCCTCACTACTGTAATTACCTGGATTACATAAAAATATTTCAAATGCCAAATTGCATGCCAAATGTGTCAATTCCCAAAAGGTTACAAGCTAGCTAAATTAAACACTTTGCCCTTTATACTTTTGAACGGTAGGAACAATAAGGCTACCATTCAAAGATAATTGTGTTCCTGTGATCTCGGAGAAGCAGAAATGGAAGCTCATACATTTTTCCATTGTTGTTTCTGTTGTGACCTTCATAATTACCTACCTTATCCAAGAAACCAGGAAGGTCTGAAACTCTTTATTTAACATACTTACTATCAGACCAGAACCTCCAATTTACTTAAGTTGGTGGCTTCCAAACCTGGATTCCCAGAAGATTTTGGATTAAAACTCCCAGAAGCTTTCATACTAGCTGTGTTGGACAGGATTGCTGGGAGCTGTAGTCCAAGAACATCAGAGACCCAAGGATGGGAACCACTGACTTAAGATATAGCATACTTGTCGTGGTTATGCAGAACCATAAAAAGTTCAGTGGCTATGGCTACGTTTTGTGCAGCTGGGTAGAAAAACAATGAAAAAAATCAGGAATAGCAAAGTTTTAGATAGCTATATGCCTAGAAATCTTATGGAATCTTGTGCCTTAAATACAGTTCACTATTTAAATTGGATTGTCATATAAGCATTCCATTACGAATATTTTAATTTCTTTTTTAATGACATTGTCCTTTTAAAGCTATTTATAATTGCTCTAATTACCAATTTTATAATCTGCTCATCTTTGACCATAATAAATTCATTCATTCATTCATTCATTTATTCATTCATTCATTCATTCATTCATTTCAGTTGAGCTGATATCCTGTAATAAATGTGCTGGAGAATTAGTATGCTGCTTCTTCACAGCACAATACATGGGCCATTTTAATGAAATATGCAAAATCAGTACATAACCAGATGCTAACCCCCAATAGCCATGGTGGATGGGAATGATATTGGTTTTAGTCCACCTGTTCTGGAGGCCAAAGGGCTTTCTGACTACTAAGCCATTGCATTTTTACTCACTACTGTACTACCTTGGTTCTTCAACACATCTCATGCCTCTCTCTCTATTCTCCTAGGGTGATTCTGGTGGCCCACTGATGTGCAAGATGAACCACGAATGGCTGTTGGCTGGTATTGTGAGCTGGGGGGAAGGTTGTGCTGAGAGAAACCGTCCCGGAGTGTACATCCGCCTTACTTCATACCAGGAATGGATTCAAAGGATTATTCCCAATCTTAAATTTGTTGATGTTACAAGGGGTAACAACCGGCTCACAAATCAAGGCACTGGTGAAGCTGATGGAAGAGGACAGATCTTCTTTATCATTGTTTTGCTTCAGGTCTTAGTTTGGCACCTTAATCATGTCTTAGCATTGGTATAGGGTGTGTGTGGGGAAAGAATTGTCAAATGGACAAGAAATGAGAGTTTCTCCCCCTTTGCACGTCCTTCCCATGTATCTCTGAAACACTGATGTAGTTCGAGCTAGAACGACAGGTTCTCTATAACATATTGTTTGGCCCCAAGAATCAGGACATTTTTCCAGTCTTGCTTCCAGTCACTCAAGTTGGCTCCACCCCTGGATGTCTTCAAAGGTGGCTTTGAAAATCCCCTGAAGATTCTCGTAAAGGAATCTATCCCAAATGTAGTGCTCTCCAGATGTGTTGGACTACAACTCTTCCATGTATAGGAAGAGGATGAGGATGAGGGCATGTGGTTCAAAACAAATAGAGGGCACTTGGCAGGGGAAATCTGTTGTGCAAGAATACAATGCATTGAGTCTATGACAGGAAGCATTAAGGGGGAAATATTCATGGTTTTCTGACAGTGTATGTCTTTGTGTTTTACAAACATTAATAAAATCTTTTGCTCATTTTTGTTTAAGACCTTTTAACAGGGTAGGAAATGTGGCTGGAGTAAAAGCACTGACTCGAGATAAAGAGAAATATTTTATAAAAATTATATAATATAGAATGAATTAAAAAACCTGGGGAGAAGAAAAGATTGAACCAGCTGTTACTGTAGGAGTGTACCAGGGGAAAACATCTGGACCGTATTGGTTTGGGTTCTTGCAGTTAGGATACTTATTCATTTTCAGGTTCTTTTGGATACTGCTTCTTTCAGTAAACCCCAAAGGGGCTGATCTTTTGGATTCTTTCATTTGGGCTTTTTCATTCAGATTTCTGGTGATAGAGGAAATTAAGCCCTACAGAACTCTTAAATCTATCCCAAAGAAGGCAGGGACAAGGCAACAGACAACCATTTCCTTCAAAACCAACAACAGCAACAGTACATTTAAAAAGGGGGGCTCAGTCTATAGACTTGTGTGGGCACTAGCAATGTTTTAAAGGTCACATTTATCACCACATCACCATCCTCTTCAGTGCATTGGCAGGAAACACTCCAAATGAGAAAGAGAAATCATAATCATGATAAGGAGCAAAGCAAAGCAAACTACACTTACTAAGGGCAATATAAACTTCCTAACACATTACTTCCAGGTAAAATATGGAGGATTCAGTCCAGCAGTACAGGCAGTCATCCACCAGATAAAGTGCAGACAGGCAATCCAGGCAGCAAGAAAGGAAATGAGACCATGAAAAAGAAGTGTTTGAAGTTGGATTTATTAGTATGAATTTCTAGGCTTGAGAGGATGTCCAACAGAGAAATGAATGCATAAATAAATACTAAGAAATAAAACATATAAGATGTCCACTTAGTGATGTAACAAGAAGATTGTTACAGCTGATCACTCAAGAAAATATAAATAGGGAAGGAGTGCAGGAAAAGAACAGAGGAATCTGGGAGATGGGTTAGATACAACATGATGCTATTGTTTAGAGCTGCCACCTCCAAAGTGAGTAAAAACCATGACGTTGTCCAATCTTAGGAGGAAAGAAAGAGCAAGGAAAATGCAATATGGTGATAAAGAAATATTTCATGCCATTTTAGCAAAACTAAATTGGGGTGAAACAATGAAGCAGGGGTTACATTCTGCTTGGGAGCAGAATTATCTCATTTGGGAAAAATAAAACATCTACCTGGGGGTGGGTAATGTTCCAGATTCTCCATATATAATCTCTCAAAGAAATGGAGCATCAGTCAGATTATTATTATTTTGCAATCTAACATACTTCATCACTGTTCTTTGACCTTAGCTGTATCTTATTTTCTTTTCTTTATTTTTGAAAACACATCTTCTTGCTAAATAGTTGGATGCTGGGTTCAGGGAAGTTGGAAAAGCACAGCAAGGAACATTATAAAACACGCTTCAGGGCTTCCTTGTTCCAGATTTAAAGAACACCCCACTGTCCTTTAATACAGCAGTTGTGTTTTTGGTTCTGATGAAATTGCTTTTAAGTCTGTCTGTCTCCTAGTGCAGTAGTTTCTTGATAACTATTTATATATACACACCCATCTCCAGCAGTGGACAGAGTGTAGCACTTACCTTGGGAACATGATGCTAAGAAGCAAAAACAACAGTAGCCCACCTTCTGTTAAGCTTCACCATTTTTGCTCAGTACCACTAGCCACCACCATCCTTATGGACTGGACTGTGTCTCCGCTTTGACTTGTTCCACCATCATGTGTCATTAATTCTGACTTCTGGTGACCCTTTCCAGGGTTTTCTACATAGAAAATACTTCCAAGTAGTTTACTATTCACTTCTTCTGGGGATGCTCTGGGACTGTGTAGCTTGCCCAAGGCCACACAGCCTGGCTCTACTCACAAGAAGCACACTGGGGAATTGAACTCCCAATTTCTGGCTCCACAGCCAGATTTCTAAACCACTGAACTATCCAGCCAGCTACTTTGACTTATTACTTCCTTCCAATATGTAATTGAGAGTAAAATTATAGGGTACAAATAATGCATTGTTAGAAACTAGAATCCTACTAAGAGAAGTGATTTAATAAACCTTCATGTCTAAGTAACCATACTTGCAAATGAAACCCATGTTTACCACTTGATGACCAATCACAAAAGACAGCAAGCTAACTTGCAAGGCATGGGAGATCTGAAATGCTCCTGCTCTGACAATCATTTAAGGAACTCCCTCTTCTGATAACACTCTATCTGTAATATGTAGTTTAGCCCAGAGTCTCCAGAGCTTGGGAAAGTTAGACTCCCAGCATCTTTCTGTTTTAGTGATGTAAGCTGCCTTGGGTCCTTTTAGGGAGAAAGGTGGCATAGAAATATTCTCAATGAATGAATGAATGAATGAATGAATGAATGAATGAATGAATAAGCAGACTGAGAGTCAACCAGCACAGGGCATATAGTCTAGCAAGCATTGCACCTGCTCATGTCATGCATTGTTCTGGTCCCATAACACTTTCTAACCCTGCCACTGCTGCAATGTTTCATGAGACTGAGCACATGCCAAGTGCAGCAGTGGTTGGTGATCTGTCTTGGATTTCCCCAAAGCAAAGATGAGTAATTTCAGATGAGTCTTTTGTCTGCTGACACCTGGCCCACTATGAACCCTGAGGAAAAAACCTACAGCTGGCACATCTTTTAAAAAGGGAAACTATAATAATAAAAAATACATGTTGTCAAGGTGACTTGTGGTGACCTTTTCAGGGCTTTGTAGTCAGAAATGATTTACCACAACTTTCTTCTGGGTGTGCCCTGGGACTGGGTGGCTTGTCTAAAGTTACGCAGGCTGATTGTTCTCCCACAGAAGCACAGTGGGAAATCAAGCTCCCAACCTCTGGCTCCTCAGCCAGACATTTAAGTCACTGAACTATACAGCGTGCATTTCTTTGTATGAAACTCATTGAACTTTGTATGAAACTCACTGAACTATTCAGGCAGCTTTTGTTTTTTTGTATTTCTTTGCTTTTCTGGAGAATGCTGAAAGGAGGCACATAAATAGCTTTGGGGCCATATTCATCTCAGAATCCACAAACACCAGGTGCAGTTTGTGGGACACAGACACTGGTAACATAGAACATTGGGCTATATCCACTTTGGGAGATATCCATCTAGCTCATACTGATCATGGGTCATCTTAACTCCACAGCAGGATTTGAGTAACCAATGGGCAGGCTGGTCCTCCTTGTCTTAGGAACTTTTTCCTCTCAGTATTTCTTACAAGTCTATGGGAGTGGCTGAGGTGAAAATCCAGCTTGAAGAGTCATAGATTACCAAGGATATCTAAGGAGAACTACGCTGTATGTCCTCAATGCACCTTTTGACCCCAACGATGCAGGTAATTAAAAATAATGTTGATATTTTACATTTCTAGGGAGGGGCCTCCCTCACACTTTTCCATTCTAATGAGATTTACTTGAGGTAAACCTCATTAAGTCATGCGGGTTTTGCAAGTCTTGACCAGAGGACACCCCAATAATGTTATTGGTAGTATGTTGATTTTTGATTTATTTGTTGAGGAGAATTTATTAAGCAGCTGGTGATGGTAGAAGATAAAGAGGGAAAATGGGAAGATAGGTTGCTTCAGTTTCAATCTTGTAGCTTTTCTCCAACCATTGCTACATCTGTATTTTCTGACTTTACAAATGTTTGGATACATTTAGATCTGATTCGGCAAGCTGGACTAACTATTGTCCCTATGCCAAGGGTGTGTGTGTGCGCTCCAAAATGTTTTTCGCTATAGCCAGGAAATATAGACTGTGTTGGCTGGTGGATCCTGGAAGCTGTTTTCTAAAGACGTATTAATTCCTGGCTCTGGCTAAGTGTATATTGGATGTCTGGAACATCTGCCTTGCTTTGGTGTATTAAGCCTAAGTTTCAAAAGAGAGCAACTTCTTGGGGACGTTTAAGTGATTGTGAACAAATGCCCTGAACATGCACACATGAGATTTTCAGTTTTCTTTGGAAAGAAGCTAGAGAATAAATCTAAATTTAAAAAAAACTATATGATTTTAAAAGAACTCCTGAAAGGTAAAGAAAAAAATGAAATACAGTATTTTAACAAACACATTTTAATCTTTTTTTTTTCAAATTCCATTTTAAGAAGGCAGAATCTGAATATATCTAAGGAAGATTTACAAAGGACCTAAACAAATGCTTCTAATTCTTTCCTGTGTACATAGACAAGCATATCTATGTAGGTTACAAGATATTGAATGTTCAGCACTCAGGTTCAGACATATATTTTTCTTTCATTCTTTTCATTCTTTTCTTATTATTAACTGTTCCCTGTTATTCAGTTCAGGTCTCAACACAATAATATAACATTTAGGGAAAAAGATGCAGAAAAGTAAGCCAGCGCTGGAGGCCAAGATGGAGAAGATCTCCACAGCTACCATGTATTTTCCCTTGGTACTCAAGTAGGTGGGAACAAAAGATAACCAAACACTGCAAAAGACCAACATGCTGAAAGTGATGAACTTGGCTTCATTGAAACTGTCTGGTAACTTCCTGGCAAAGAAAGCCACAGTGAAACTAATAATGGCCAGGAAGCCCATATAGGCCAAGGCACTGTAAAATAGAATCACAGACCCTTCATTACATTCTAGCACAATTTCTGCAACAAGTGAGTGCATGTCCATATCTGGGAATGGGGGAGAGGCTACTAGCCACACAATACAGATGCCTGCTTGGATAAGGGAGCAGGAAAGGACAATAGTGGCAGCCAGTTTCTTCCCCACCCACTTCTTCATCTTGGATCCTGGTCTGGTGGCCATGAAAGCCAGAACCACTGTGAGCGTTTTTGCCAGGATGCAAGAGACAGCCACAGAGAAGATGATGGCAAAAGCAATCTGTCGGAGAAGGCATGTCATTTTCTGTGGCTGGCCAATGAAGAAGAATGCAGAGAGGAAGCAGAGTAGGAGAGAGATGAGGAAGATGTAGGTGAGGTTGCGGTTGTTGGCTTTGACAATGGAGGTGTTGTGATGCTTCAGGAATGTTCCTAACACCAAGAGGGTGGCTAAAGAAAAGGAAAGGGAGCAGCAGGATAGACAGAGTCCTAATGGTTCTTCATATGACAAGAAGGTTATAATCCTGGGAATACATAAGTCTTGGTTTTCATTTGGATAGTTTTGGTCTCTGCATTTGTAACAGTCATCCATATCTGAAAAAAGAGAGGAAAGGTCGATTGTTAAGTGAATAGCTCTGTGCCTTTAAGCAAAAGAGCATGCTAGAGCATTCCTTTTAGACACAATACACAGGAGAGCATGAGGAGGATGTAGTTAAGGTTTTAGTTTTAGTTTTAACTATGGAAGTGCCTTGGTGCTTCCTGAATGTTCCCAACACTAGAGATGTAATCAAAGAAAAGGAAAGGGAGAAACAGTCTAACATGATCTCCAAAGGTTCTTCAAAAAGCTTACTTTCTTGGGAATATAGAAATCATTGTTTTTGTTGGGATAGTGTTCATCTCTATACTTATTAGTCATTCATATTAGAATAGAATAGAAAATATAGAGTCTTTTGTCATTCTGTTTCATACTATTAATCGCAATAACATGTAAGCAATAAGCTATGTCAACTCACATGACACAGAAAGATATTCTTTGTTCAAATTGGAAGCTAAAATCTACTGTGATCCTGTGAGTCAAAAAGTCTTGGTTACAATGACCCGACTGCTTACTTTACAGCATCTTATCAAAGCAGATGGAGACTGGTTTCTGAGGGAATCTATATAATATATTAGGATGTAGATCATGTCAGTAGCTTGCAGCTTGGTAGACTGAAGCAGCACTACAGGCTTTTTGCAAAAGAATAAAGTAAATTGTGACTATAGCACAGCCCCTTAATGAATGTGGCCAAGCATTCCTGGCTGTTGAGGCCTGCCAATTGCGTGGCATCAAATGAAGGCTCTAAATCGCATGCAAAGACAGCTTCCTCACCCCTGTACATTTCAGTATTATAAGACAACTACTTATTGCCTGAGTACTCTGAATGAAATTAAGTTTTATTCAATAATTTGTTTAAAACAGCAGGAGCAAATGATCACATACAAATATACACAAAAGCTCCAACCAGCACCCATGACAAAAAAAGACATAATCAAAACTGGTAGACTGGGCAAATCGGAACTGTGAAGCTCCATTTCTCAGCACCAAACTCAACCATCTGAATTGGGCCCTACAGGCAAATGGCTATTCCAGAAAGGAAATCACAAGAGTCATCAAACCAAGAAAACAACACCAAATTGAAGAAGAAAAACAGCTACCCAAAAATAAAGTATTTCTGCCATACATCAAAGGGGTCACGGACCGCGTGGGGAAACTTTTGAAAAAAAAACACAACCTACAAACAGTATTCAGGACCACCACAAAAATACAACAAATGTTATGGTCAGCAAAGGACAAAGGGGATCCCCTCACCTCTGCAGGAGTATACCAGATATACCAGATACCTTGCAGTTGTGGCCAGGTATATATTGGGCCTAGCTTCCAGCACTGAAAAATACAGCCTGTGAAAAGGTCAACGGACTCTACCCAGCCTCAAGGACTGGTGATCACTGCACACAGAAGACTAGCTAATGGCACCCATCAATCACAGTGACAGATCATCTCCCCTTATCACAACAATACACCCATAACAAAAAACACCCTGATCACATAATCACCCAGTCTCCTGAAAAGGACAAAGAACCCACAGCTACAAATACTCAGCTATGCCACACACTACACCAGAACACAGACAGAGTTCTAACTCCTGTCCTCTGAAGATGCCGGCCGCATCTTCAGAGGACAGGTGAAACAGCCCAAAAAACCTATGACAAACAATACACCTTTCCCCTCTTCCTTCAATAACTTCTAGCCTTATCTCACAACATCTCCAGTCACACACTGAATAAGTGCCACTTTCTCTGGATGACATCTAGTCTATTTCCTGAATCTGTATAGGATATACTTTACCTTTCTGGTCTGAAATCTTCCCCTTTGGGCATGGGATGCAATCATAGCAACAAAATGGTTTTCCCTCTTTTATTTTCTTACTCAGTCCAGGACGACAACTCTGAGTGCATACAGAAAGAGGCTGAGACTGATGTATAAATGAAAGAGGCATGTGAGAAAAAATTATGCTGATGATTTTGGTAAGAGGAATGACAAGAAAGACGAGAGAACATTATCATTATCACTATTGATATAAATTATGAAATTGAGAGTTCTCTATAGTTTGGTCACCATTTTGTTTTTCTAATGTACACTTATATATTAGTTTCCTTTCTGTTTTTTTTTTTTTTTTGTTGCCAATTTCACACAGTAGGAAAATGTTTGTCATTGAACTCTTTCAGACAGGAAGAAAAGCTCTATTCACTCTGTCGGTTCCAAACTTAGATTTAATCAATCCTTTTGCAAGATAAAAGACAAAAATAATTCAGTTCTCCACTGGTGTGAATTCAGCATCATTTTCCCTGCTTGTAATCACGTTGCATATTTTTATCTGAACGTTTTGAAACTCATGAATGCTACATTTAATGCAAGGGATCTTTGTGCATGTGGAGGGTGCTATTCAACTGCATGAGTGTCTTTGGGCTCTCACACAAATACTCCTGACTCAATTCCTTATTTACATGCTTGTCAGAAGATAGGCAAGAAATTAAAAGATGCCTGCTTCTTGGGAGGAAAGTGATGACAAACCTAGACAGCATCTTAAAAAGCAAAGACATCACCTTGCTGACAAAGGTCCGCATAGTCAAAGCTATGGTTTTTCTAGTAGCGATGTATGGAAGTGAGAGCTGGACCATAAAGAAGGCTGACCACCAAATAATTGATGCTTTTGAATTGTTGTGCTGGAGGAGACTCTTGAGAGTCCCCTGGACTGCAAGGAGAAGAAACCGATTTTGAAGGAAATCAACTCTGAGTGTTCACTGGAAGGACAGATCCTGAAGCTGAGGCTCCAGTACTTTGATCATCTCATGAGAAGAGAAGACTCCCTAGAAAAGACCTTGATGTTGGGAAAGTGTGAGGGCAAGAGGAAAAGGAACCGACAGAGGATGAGATGGTTGCACAGTGTCATCAAAGCTACCAACATGAATTTGACCCAACTCCAGGAGGCAGTGGAAGACAGGAGGGCCTGGCGTGCTCTGGTCCATGGGGTTATGAAGAGTCGGACACGACTTAATGACTAAACAACAACAACAGAAGATAGGGCATATTTCTAAGACACATTTATTGATCATACAGATATTTGAGGAAAAAAGAAAAAGCACATAATTGTTGCACAACTAGACTGTTAAATGGCTATGGATCTTCCAGCAACTGGGACCTTGTGTCTATCACAACATTTAAAAACTTTGCAACTTGACACCAGAATGGCTGCTCTCATTTAAATATACTTTCAGCAGATTATCATCAGTTATGTCAGAGAATGGCTTTTGAAAGGACAAAGCATGGATTGGGCACCAATGTATATTCCCATATTTGGGCATGGACCAGATTGGGCATCAGTGCACATCCCGAATGTAGACTTTCCCAGTTTGCACCCACAAAACTGAAGCATGCAGAGATTAAAAGAGGAACTATAATACAGGATTTACAGCTGTGCATCTCTTTCATCACTCAGTTAAGAGTCAGAGAGAACTGTTTCTGCCCAAAATAGGATCCTACCTGATTAAACCAACTATGCCATCTTATGGCATCCTCTTCAATGGTTAACATTTGGCCTGGAGGAGCCTGGGAATCTATCCTTCCCACTTTCACTCTGTGAAAGGATTGATTGGAGAAAACAATCCAGTTTATCACATCCAAACCAGCTACTACTTCCCCATTCTGGTTGAAGGAAATCCAATCCCCTGCACTGTTGTTAAATGAGACACCTCTTAGAAAGCGATGGAGCTGGAGTGGAAAAAAAGGGCAAAAGTTTAGAACTTCTGCATTTGACTCTTTCAGGATAAGCCCTAATGACATTGGTAGAATAATGCCATGGATAACTTTGAAATGAAAGAAGATCATTAGAAGAACACTCATCCCTTGTGACCAGAGACATTCTTTGAGAAGACAGTATATGAATCAGCAAATGTATAGCTGTGTTTATCAAATATACGTTTACAGACAATGCAGATAAAAATGTAAAGGTGAACTAAAACAGGAATTATTTCATCATAACTACCTGCAGGAAAGAAGATGAAGGCAACAGTACATCTATGAAAGTCAATAACATCTAGTGTAGGTGGCCTGTCAATTGAGTATACATAACTCATTACCTGCCAAAACTGTTGATGCTGAAGCTTTAGCCCAGCTCTGTTTCCCATGACTTTGTGTCCAAGTGCAACTGTGGACATAGCCTGTTGTAAAGCTTGAGCTACAGCATAAATAGCGTTGTAGATGCTGTAGCTATGGCTTGTCATACTCATTTGAAAAAAAGCTCCAGGAAGGCTCTCTAGCTTCTCTTCGCCTGTGCAAATATCTACTGCGTCTCTTGCATTCTCAGCTATATTTGGGAATACACAGCCAAAGGCCTGTTGCCAAAAGTCTCTCATAAAGCCATCTTTGTTAGTGCTAGGTGGTTTTCTGTTTTCAGCAAATTGGCGAAATCCTGGAATATCATTGGAGTGAATTTTGAAGGAAAGACTACCATGAAGAAAATCTGTTTCCCAGTTTCTTTGGAAGGTAAACGAAGTGAACTCCATCTGGGCTGTCATTATCCAGACTTTACCCTTTCCTTTCTGAGTCATGTGCTCTTGTTCAGAGAGATATGGAAACCATCTAAACAGGGCAATGGAATAAGATTCCCCATAGGCCAAGATGACATTGGCTTTGCTGTCCATTATTTTATCAAATATTTTTGCCCCTTGTAGTAACATATTGCTAACATCACTGACAAAACTAAACTTGGGGATTTTTTCAATGAAGGCAAAACAGATACCATCCTGGGTAAAGAGGGGAAGTCCTATTTGAATAAATCTTTCTCCATTGTCCGTGTCCATGACAACTGACCCAATCCATGTCCATCTGAAGTGCAGAAGCAAAGAGAGAATCCCTCTGTACTGAAGGTCTTCTTGAGGGACCATCTGGTAGAAGGAAAGGCCTGGAATTTTGTCATTCATCATTGGTGCAGGGCCATATATGAGCTACAAAGAAGTTGTACATATGAAAGGAGAATAATAACACTATTTAAATGCTAGTTTTGAGGGCTCAAAACAATTTGTATGTATTTAGTAGTAGGGAAGGGAAGAAATCTTACCCAGGTATCATTTCTGGTTAGGACAGCCTGTCAAAGATTGTCTAACCATGTAGGAATTCATGCCACCACATGACACATGACAAGCTTCCCTCCTTCATTGTTTGCACTATTTGTACAACTGATAATGTCTGAAATTGATTTTGCATTCACACATAGATATGCACACACAGCAGAAAAGGGTACTTTATTTGCTTACAAAGGTGCAAATAGCCAATTTAATTCTTCTATTCAGTTGCAAAGTGGTAACTATCACTGCTTTGATACTGTAAGCTGTCCAGAGTAGTGGCTTGCCTCCTAGATAACCAACCAACCAACCAACCAACCAACCAACCAACCAACCAACCAACCAACCAACCAACCAACCAACCAACCAACCAACCAACCAACCAACCAACCAACCAACCAACCAACCAACCAACCAACCAACCAACCAACCAACCAACCAACCAACCAACCAACCAACCAACCAACCAACCAACCAACCAACCAACCAACCAACCAACCAACCAACCAACCAAAATCAATCAATCAAACAAACAAACAGATTTGAAGAACAGCATGAAAATTGGCTTTGCAAATGTGCAAAGTCTCTTTGTTACCAATAAAAAAGATCTCACCTTCCTGCCACAAGGAGAAACATCTGCATAATTTCCTGCCTAGCATGAGGTGATGAACCATAATATGATCTACATCCCTATTTAATATTCCTAACAACCACACCCAGTAAGAGGATGTCACTGTTTCCATCAGACAAAGAGTCATGTGATAATGAGAAGCAATTGTTGGCTTAGAGTTCTCTAGAGAGTTCCAGTTTGACAGGACAACTGCCTTTGAGTCTTACAAAGTTGGGACAAATGGGTAGAGTGGGGGGACCACTTTTAGGCAAGGAAAATGGAGAGGAACTTCCTGGATAGGAGAGGACAAATTATAATTTTCAGGCCCAGAGGCAGGAGACCTTTCAAACTGCAAGTGGCCAAGGCCATTCTCATTTTTTCCCCAAAGGCTAGTCTTTGTTGTGGTTGTAAGTGGCGTTCCTTCTTCCTAGCACATTCTAGTAATCATTCCCCACAAAAGTCCTTCTATGGAAAGATGAGCAACATATCACCCACCTGTGGGATCTTATAAATATCCAAGATGTTTGCTATGTGAAGGGATATTTCAGAGTCTTGTCCTCCAATAACTGCTATCAGATCATTTTTGCCATCACAAATGTAGTTTGGGACAAACCTCTCCAGAGTGGATAAAAGGAACATTGTGGCATGGTAGGTCCACCGTACGTTGGTATAGCTATCATAGATGCAGAAGCCCAAGGTAAAATTGAATAAGTGATAAGGGTTTTTATTGATTTCGTTGACCGCAAATGCCAAGGCCAGGATGGGCTGGTAATTCATAGGCATTATCCTAGAAGAAGAATTGCATTCTGAATCAGGAAGGTATTTGAAAAGAAATTAATTCTTACCATTGTGTTCTGCATCTCGCTTCTTATGGCACAAAACTATGTGCTCATATGAATAAGACCAGGCATTACTTAGAAAGATGAAAAAGTGAAAAATAGGAAGGTGGCCCTCAATGTTGAAAAGCATGAATATACCTAACTTCTGGAATTGTAAAGGGGCATGTCATGTATATTAAAAAAGAGAATTAAATTGAAATAAGGGAGCACTAATCAGGGTAAAGGCATAATATGGTAGTTTTTAAGATAAATTGACACTAGATATAAGGTTGGGGCAAACAAATAGTACTTAAGAACATGCACTAGATATGATATTGTTATAGCCAGGATAGAAAATGTGGAGAGACAAATGGCTACATAATGATACAAAGAAAATCTGTATAAAATGCTCCATTGAAATAAGGGAGCACTAATCAGGGTAAAGGCATAATATGGTAGTTTTTAAGATAAATTGACACTAGATATAAGGTTGGGGCAAACAAATAGTACTTAAGAACATGCACTAGATATGATATTGTTATAGCCAGGATAGAAAATGTGGAGAGACAAATGGCTACATAATGATACAAAGAAAATCTGTATAAAATGCTCTAGATAACATTTATTATGTGTTACGAACTCACTCAGTTATCATTGGTATAAAATACAAAATTTGTCAGTTAAAGCACCTCAAATTATATAGATTTAGAACTGGAATTACTTTTATTAAGTATGTTATTTGAGGATTTTGAGAACATTGCATACTATGGGAGTAATATTATGATAGTAGCCGATATTGACTTCAAAGTATTAATGCTTACTTATAAAGCCCTAAATGGTTTAGGACCTCAATATTTGGCGGAACGCCTACTCCCACCAAGGTCTACCTGTATCACCCGCGCGAGTCAGGACGTGAGGCTGAGGGGCCTGACACCGAGAGAGGCCCGGAAGGAAAGAAGTAGAAACCGGGCCTTCTCAGCAGTGGCTCCTTGCCTCTGGAATAATCTCCCTCCTGTGATTCATGCAGCCCCTTTGCTGGGTGTTTTCAAAAACCAACTAAAAACATGGATGTTCGTACAGGCCTTCCCTCCAGTTAATCCTTGATTATCTTTTCTTTCTCTTCTCGTGCCATCTTGAATAATTTAATAATCTATTAATCTATTAGCTGATGTTATAATTTTGTGTATATTTGTATGTTTTTATTTATGCATCTGGAAGCCACCTAGAGTGGTCGCAAGACCAGATGGGTGGGGTATAAATAAATCAATAAATCAATAAATCAATAAATCAATAAATCAATAAATCAATAAATCAATAAATCAATAAATCAATAAATCAATAAATCAATAAATCAATAAATCAATAAATCAATAAATCAATAAATCAATCAAGATGCAAAAAACAAATTATGGTAAGCAACCCATGTAACACGATATTTGACAAGCACGAATCGAATGTAGATAGATTGAAAAACTAATAAAATGTATTTTTTTTTAAAAAAAACACCATGTGTCCATATGCTGCATTGAGCAGGGGGCAGTGGAATCTTTTAAGATTAATGCGTAGAACAACATATTTTTTGGACTGGTTGGGGGATTCTGGGAGGTAGTAGTTTTTTTTTTTAAGTAACCTTTTCAGGCTCATTTAAGAACATACCAAATGGTATCACCATCCATCTTCTTAATAGAACACCTTTATATTTAACAGACATTTCTTTTTAGAGGAGTCCTGCTAATGCAAACCATTATCACCCAAAAGTCCTTTTAAAAAACTGCAAATGCATACTAATTTACAGGACACATTACTGGATCTGTTCCTATCTCAACACTGGAGGCATTCAAAAGAAACTTAGATAACAACCTGGCAGATATCCTTTAATTTGTATCCCTGCATTGAGCAGGGGGTTGGACTTGATGGCCTTATGGGCCCCTTCCAACCTCACTATTCTATGATTCTATTAATAATAATAATTTGTTCTTGTTCTGTGTTGTCAAATTAACAACAACAACAACAACAACAACAACAATAAAAGTAATAAAAATTGTGTGCTGTCAAGTCAATTCTGACCTACGGTGACCTTTTTCAGGTTTTTCAGATAGAAAGTACTCAGAAATGGTTTACTTTTTCTTTCTTTTGAGGGCATCCTGGGACTGTGAAGCTTGCCCAAGGCCACACAGGCTGGCTGTTCTGAGATGCAGAGTATGGAATTGAACTCCCAGCCTTTCACTGAGCCAGCCAGCCAACTAAATATAGACCAAGTATAACATGGGAAATCAAAAGAGTCACAGTTTGTAGGGGACCTCATGCTTTGTTTGCATATATTACCGCCGCCTTTCAAGTTAAAATTGAATACTAGAGCTGAGGATGACCCCTGTTTGAAATTTTGGGTGCCTGTTCTTTGTAGCTTTCTGTTTTCTGTGTAAATCCAACAGCATGTGATGATAAGATTTGGGAATTTGAAGGGCAAAGAAAATGCTGCAAAAGAGAGCTTTAAAAACAAAACACAAAACAAAACACCAGATACTTGATTTGATTCATATTTTCTACAGGCTTACTCAAAATATATCCTTTTTTTTCTATTCCAGTGCCTATCCTAGACTCTCCAAAATTTCCTTTGAAAATGGATGAATAATTGCCTGTTTCTGCTCCTGAAATTCTCCAGAAGGGTCATTTCGTCCTAAAACAAAATCCAGCCATCTGCACTTTAATTTGAATAGCCCAGTCAAAAATAAAAAAAAATGAGTGAAGATTAATTGTAAGATTTTTTTTTTAAAAAATAACACTCCTTTTGGTGATCGTGATGGTCATGATGCTGGTGACATGTGTCTACATCTGTATTTGTCTGATGAAGCTACAAATTGCCCCCTCCAAACCTCCAGAGCTTGCCGACCCTTGTCCAATACAATGCATCTCTAAGACTCTCAGTTCTGAAACTCTCTCATGTTTGGATTGTGCTGGTGATCCAATAAATGCGGGAAAAAAGAGGCCATCCGTACATAAGCTCTTCAGATAAAGCTGGACGAGGCTGATCAGTGAAGGAAGTTGAACTGGAAATAAAGCGAGCCACAGAAGTGATGGCACCAACGTTGAAGTCTCCTGGCTGATGATATCTGTGAAGTGGAGGGTGAAGATTGTGAGTCCTGCAATTCTCAGAATGAATCTCGCATGCCATGTGGGGAAGGAGGGGCAGCAATAGGACCACTAAAACCAATATCATGAGAATTGTTTCAATTTTTCTCTCCTATATAGAAATTTCCTTGCTTCTCCAAACTATTATCTGGTACTCTTTGATTAGAATTCCTGGACTGGGAGGACAGATTAATCTCCTCACAGATCTGGTAGAGTTGATTTGTCAGATAAATAATGCCAAATTAATGAAAATCTTTGCTTGTTCCAAAGCCTCCTTTAAAAACATTCATGATATTTATACCATCTTCAACCACCTATGCTATTTGGTCTCATATTGGCCACTGAATATTGCACAGAGATTGTAGAAAGCAGTGAGATTAATTATAGGGCTTTTGATGAATAAACAAGAAGGTAACAATTAAGCTTAAAATGGGAGTTTGGCATGGAGCAGGTGAAGACCACATGTTTATCTTATCTGAGCAAACGTTAGTTGTCGTAATTAAAAAAATGCACCTGGCATAATAGTCTGGGACAAGAAGGGAAAGAAATGCGTTTGATGAAGGAAAGTATTCTTGAGGACTTTTATTAATAGATTTAATTTATGTGAAGAAAGATCATGTCCACAGATACCCCCAAAACAACCAAGGAAATAACCTGAAATGGAATATGAATTGCAGCTGAAAATATAGGGACCTCTTCTTATTAAAATAGCTTGCTAGTGACAAAGTTATATAAGTATTTAACCACATCATTATGCCCTTCAGCAGAAGATGATCTTCCTTTTATAAACTGCAAATGCATTAGCCCAATGGGGAGCGAGATGCTAAAATGAGGAGAGCAGAATTTTAAGCTTTCCCTCTTGTTTGGTATCTGGTACCCCATGCTTTTAATCTGTAAGGCTAAAGAAAAGAAACCTTTGAAAAAGGATGAGACATGTTTTACAATGCAAATGCAGGGGGAGGGACCTTGTTCTTTTTTTGGTTCTGTATTTATGTGTGTAACTGGCAAAGGGTAACACCCACACTGCAGAACAACATTGCGATCTGGCTCATAACTGAGAATGGGGGTGAACCTTTAAAAGGGATGACACATGTTTTGTAATAAATCTGGCTCATAACTGGGACTTTTAAAAGGGATGACACATGTTTTGTAATACAAAATACTGGAGGTGAAACCCCACTCTGTATTTGGGTGTGCACACATATAAACAAGTGCTCTTGTGCGCAAAGACATACAGCCCATGCTGCCCATCAATATTTCATGCCTGCTCATAACTGGAAAAGGTGAACCCCAATACTTGAAACCAAAAGTATACAATTTTATTCATTTATTTTTATGTACTGCACTTTTATGCTGCCTTTCTCCAGATGAAAGGTCTCAAGGTGGATCAAAAATGATTAAAATAAAAACAAAAAATTCAAACAAGATACATAAACCATTATAAATGTTATTAAACAGGGAACTATCAAAATCACAATCTAAAAGTAATTTTAAAAACACATTTAAAAAGAGATTGTAATATTTGACATTGCAGAGAGATTGGCCTCCAGTTTAAGGAGAGTCGCCATGTATACATCACCAAAGTTGCATGTCCTAGTTCATAAGTACAGAGGCATGATTCAAACAGGGTTGCGATACATCTGAAGGAAGTGTGGAAGACTGTGGCTGGATGTCTTGTGTGCTTATCTTCCAGACACTTACTGTGGACAGACAAGTTCAAGGTCCCTGATCCCTCTTGTTATGATCCTTTCCTTTAGATGAGGTTTGGCCTGAAACACTTGTAGTGATCACCCTGTCTATGCATATGTACGAGTGTATCGGCATGCACCAATAAGAGTTGTTGGGAAGTGGAGCCAAGGGGACATAAAGGGAGGGGTGAAGCAGATAGGAAGAGCATATAATTAGTGGGGAGGTGAAAAACAGTTAAGAGTGTGGAATTTAGAGAGTTAAGAGTGGAATAATTTATTATGAAACTACTGAAAGCTTTAATGTCTTTTAGGAATCTACTTATGTGAAACTCAAGATTTGAACTGAATCCAATATACAGTATCTGTTTTTGTTAAAAGTTACATGCAGTACGGACCTGTCTTTCCAAGTAAATAATGTTGGCAGAGATCAACTGGTGGCATCTTAAATAGGAAAGTGATGTGGGCCTTAGATTAGTGAAATAATCCAGGGACATGCAATGGGCACATCACACCGCTCTTCAGAGAAAGACACCTTTGAAAGGAAGATCGTCCTCTTTTAGCTGTTCAAATGAAGACATTAATCTTAATGTATGCTTAATTGTTTTTTAAATGTGATATTTATATAGTGCTTTTAAAGTTCCTATTTTACCTGTTGTGAACCGCCTTGAGTCCAATATGGGGAGAAAGATGGCATATAAACAAACAAACAAACAAACAAACAAAACAGACCAATACCTGCCAAAGAAGTTGATTCTGAAATCCAGGTCCCTTTCCAAGCACTACAGCATTTTGCTTGATTCTAGATAAGGACATGGCGTCTAGTGCATGGGCGATGATGTGCACAGAATTGTAGATACTGTAGCTATTATTTGTCATGCTCATCTCAAAAAAGCTCCAGGGAGGTCCTCCAACACTTCTTCCCCAGTGTACACTTCCCCGTTTACTTCACCCTCCACTGAATTTGGAAAGACACATCCAAAGGCCTATTGCCAGAAATCCATGATAAAACCATCTCCTTCCACATTGGAAGGGTTTCTGGTTTCAAGAAATACCTTGAATCCTGGATGGTCAATGGAGTGAACTCTGAAGGATATAGCACCATGAAATATTCCTGTATCCCAAGTCCTTTGATTGGAAAATGCAGCAAACTTCATCTGGGCTATCGTTATCCACACGATACCTTTTTCTTTCCTTATTAGATGCTCTGCTTCTGACAGATATGAAAACCATAAGAAAAGTGGCATGGAAAGAGATTCTGCATAGGCCACTACTACATGGGCTGTGCTGGACATCACTTTGTCATGCATTTTTGCTCCCATTTGTAGCATATCATAAATTTCATTGACAAAAGTAAACTTGGGGATTCATTCAATTATGTTAAAGCAGACACCATGCTAGGAAAACATTGGAAGTGCCATTTCTACCAATCTTTCTCTTACGTCATTATCTATAACAACCATGCCAATCCATGTCCAGTTGAAGTACAGAAGCAAAGAGAGAAGTCCCTTATTCTTGAGGTCTTCTGGAGGAACCATCTGGTAGAAAGGAAGGCCTGGAGTTTTATCATTCATCACTGGTACCAGTCCATATGTGAACTGAGGAGAGAGACAATAATTCACACACTGATGTTGCTTTCAAAGCAGCAAAGAGACATTTAAGTCTTTTGACCTGAAGTCCTCTGCAAGAATGGAATGGACTACATGTGCATTTGTTTTGATCCAGAATGCCTTTTAAAAATGTACACAGCTTCAAGAAAGATGAGGCTGGATCTTGCCCCCTGACGGTTTGCTCATGACAGGCAATGAAAAACTTTCCATTCAGACTGCCCTTGGTTGACAGAGATTTCTCTTCTCAGAAGGGCCCATTAATAAGATAAGAACTACATTTTTTATTAATTTGTGTTGAAATATGAGTTTAGATTTTGCATGCTTTTATTCATTTTGTATTTTAATTGTCAGCTGTTTTGGCTATTATCCATGCAAGAAAGGTGGAGTTTAATCAAGTAAGAAAAGTAAAATAAATAATATTGTTAGCTATGCAGAGGTTGTTGTTCCCATCCTAGAAATATGAGTCTGACTCTGAGAAAATACACAGTAGTCTCACCACTGTGAAATGCGTAATAGAAAACAGACTGTGCATACAGTTTGAGACAGAAGACAAATAGTTGCTTTACAGTTTCTCAGGCCCATATTCTGACACTAAAGCTGCCCCTACTTTGATCCAAGGATAAAATTAAAATGTGTTATGTTTGGGATTCTTGGAAAACTGGAACAAATGTAAGGCTACTAATGGCCAAACAATGTGTGAGATCATTCACATGGCTTTTCTTTGAGTTTTCTTTCACAAATTATCTTCACAATCCTGTTGTGATTGTAATTCTTAGGCACTAAACTAGAACAAGAGTTGCATTCAGTATTAGAAGGATATTCTGCACCATCTCTTGCTGATGGCATGGTACAAACACCAACACATCTATTGTCCATCCCTTGTCTCATCCACATAAAAACATTTTTGCAATCTCTTCTTGTACTCCAAGGAAGTTTGTGCTAAGAACAGAACCAAAGTGTCATTAGCAATCTTCATCCTCAGGTTAGGACATTCGTTGTAATTCCTGGCAAAGTGGCTCTCACAGAAATTTTACTTAACTGAAATAACATCATTTCAACACCTCCCTTAACACTTCAAATATATATACTGGGTTGCCTCATATTCAGTTATGCTCAGAGTAGACTCGATATACACAAGACAGATGACATCCACCTGATTCCAAGGGACCAATATGACTAAACATGGATCTAGAAAACTCATTCCAATTCCATTTATTATTCTTGGAATTCCCAAAGAAATCCCTGTGATAGTCTGTCTCAGCATGTAGACATAATTAAAGAGGAACAAGAAAAAAGAAAAGAAGGGGGAGAGGAAAGAAAGTCAAAATATTTTGGCACTTTAAAAACGAACTGATTTAAGTGAATTTTGCTCCAGAAGAACACACGTTGAAATAAATCAGTTAGTCTTTCTGCGGTTTTTCCCCTCTCTCTTTTCCTTTTTTTTATCCTTTAATTTTGCCAACATTCCTATTCTACAATCATCAATTGTCTTATGAAGACAACAGGACAGGACTAGAGTTTTTAGGGAGTATAAACCAAACACAGGAAGAAGAAAGTGCAATGAACTCAAAATCTTAGTTTAGCTTTATTTATATTGTGTCTCATACTTAAATGTCTGCAATAATAAGGAATTAATCTGGATCCCGCCCAATCCGTTGCAAGAACTAAGAATAGTTCCAATATGAATTACAAAATAAGACCTATTTCTGCTTCTGAAGACCTCTAGGACAATGATTTTGCCTTGGGTTTCTCCCAAGGTCACCATCCTCTTGCCTCAAAACCCAAAACTAAAACTATAAGTCTCTGTGTGGGTACTTCTACTTTTTAAAGGGCCATTTTCAGCCATCTCCAGACCTAGGGTAGTTTGACATAGAGTCTGGGGGCAAGAATGTAGTTTCCTTCCCAGAGATTGTCTGCCTCAATATATGTCTATATATGACTCAGAAGCAGCCCAATATTGATGGATCTCCCATACAAGAGAATTTAGGCTGTCTACTAGCCTATTGAGTTTCAGATGGTCAGCTAAAACTGTAGTATTCCAAAGGGTCAGGAGTTTCCAGCAGGTCTTTTGGACAAAGTTTTGATATGGGTTTTTAAAAAAATGTATTAAATCTTCTCTTTAAAAATTTTTTTGAATGTTGAATCTTGTAAAGATTGTAAATCACCATGGGGGCCCTGAGTACACAGAAGCAATAAATAAATGCTTTAAATAAAGAAAGAATAAATTATGGGCAGACCCTTATTGATTATGTATTCTGTTCTGATCTAAGTGCAATAGCATAAATGGCAGTGGCAAATGCAGTGATTAATGAGTTTTTGCTGATCCCCCTTGTTGTGCACCAACTCATGCTAAGAAGCATTGAGGGATACAAGTGGTGAATCTAATTAGTGACAATAACCCACTCTAGCTTTTGCTATTGTTCTTACACTGGTGTGTAAGGTCTCTAGCCAGTATATCAGTATCTTGGAAGAATAAGTCTGGCCATTGAAGACAAACAAGTTCTTTTAATTGTATTCATGATTAAGACATGTACTTTTAATTTTATCTTTTTGGCCTGGCTGCATGACTCAAAAGATAAATGGGGTACTTATAACTAGCTAGGCACCATTCACAGTTGGCGAGCTGCCTTTTGCTTGCAGACATAGAAAAGAGGTTTGAAATCAATGTTGCATTCGGCTGATGATATTAGTGCCGTCTCTGGATTCTAGTATGAACAGTTTCTTCCACAAACTTGTATGTATATATGATCTGCATAGATGACTATTTAAATGCTTACTGATTTATTCATTGTCTGCATTTATTATCTTGCACTTCAGCTCAGAAGGTTGAACTGGTAAAAATTCATGTGCATCCTTACTACAGATTTACAACCTAGAAGTCATAAAACAGAACTGAAAAGGGTGGAAGGCAATGAAAGGGGGAATGAGACAAGTAAACCTGGGCAGCAGCTTTTAAAATTACCATTTTTGTAATGACAAGTGGGATGGAAACATTTCAGGTAACCTGATGGAAGTAGAACAATTGAAAAGGAGAGAAAAGACACCATAGAATCTGATCTATTATTTTGGCCATAGTGGATTTGGTGGGAGAACCTTAGATAATCTTCCCTTTCTTTATTAATGAGAAAGTTGGATTCATTTCCAAGGTTATTCTACTCTTGCTGTCAGAAGACAGTAAGGGTGAGAAAGGTGAAAAGCAGCTTAAAGGTGTCAAGAAGTGCTATTGAAAGAAAACTTTAGAGTAAATATGGGGGTAAAAGATGTGTATATGTAGGCAGATCTGCAAGCAAATTGCTCATTCCCAGTTCCACTGAAGGAACTGCAGAAGTATACCATTGATTCCTGTCCCTGATTTCTTCAGACATGTCTCCTTACTAGTTGTTCCCTGTGATTTAGCTGAGGTTTCAGCACAATAATATAACATTTTGGGAAGAAGATACAACCCAGCAACCCAGCACTCGAGGTTAGGATAGAGAAGATCTCCACAGCTACCATATATTTTCCTTTTGTGCTCAAGTAGGTTGGGACAAAGGATAACCAAACACTACAGAACATTAGCATACTGAAAGTGATGAATCTGGCCTCATTGAAACTGTCTGGTAGCTTCCTGGCTAGGAAAGCTACAATAAAGCTGGCAGTGGCTAGGAAACCCATGTAGCAAAGGACACAGTAAAACATGGCCACAGACCCTTCATTACATATCAAGATAATTTCTTCAGTCACTGAGTACAGGTCAACATCTGGATATGGAGGTCTGGTTGTCAGCCAGACGGTACAGATTCCTGCTTGGATAACAGAGCAGGAAAGAACAATCGAAATGGCCAACTCCTTTCCCACCCACTTTCTCATCCTGGATCCTGGTTTGGTGGTCATGAAAGCCAAAATGACAGTGATGGTCTTTGCCAGTATACAAGAGATTGCAATAGAAAAAATTATGGCAAAGGCAGGTTGCTGCAGGAGGCACATCCTTTCGTGCGGACGGCCAACGAAGAGCAAGGCACAAAGAAAGCAGCACAGGAGGGAGACGAGGAGAATGTAGGTGAGGTCCCGGTTGTTGGCTTTGACAATGGGAGTGTTGTGGTGTTTTATAAATATTGCCAGCACTAGGGCTGTGATCAAGGAAAGGAAGATAACAAAACAGGTTAAAGTGATCCCCAAAGGTTCATCGTAAGACAGAAAGCTTGCATCTTTAGGAACGCATAAATTCCGTTTCTTGTTTGGGTATTTTCTCTCTGGACATGCATGACAGTCATTCATGTCTGAAAAAGAAAAGGCATGCTTTTGATTTCAAAATACAATCCCAGCAGTCTAATCAGAATTCTATTATGGTGATTTTTAAGTGGGTAAAAGATCAGGATCTATACTCCCAATGTGGTATAGTGGATTGAGTGATGGACTAGGACTCTGGAGTAAAGAGTTTGAATCCCCTACTCAGCCATGGATACTGACTGGGTGAATGGAACGGGGAAAATCACTCAAATATCTCACATATCCTGAAGCCCTAATAGGGTTGCTATAAGATGGCTCTGACTTGACAGCATAAAACACATACACGCAAGTACATTCTTCATATGTATATTAACGTCATCTTTATTGTTTAACTTCCAGTTGGAAATTCAAGAAAAGTCACAAGAATTTTAAATCTTTGTAATTTTACTGATTGTTTCTTTGAAGTCCTGCTTTGTTTTTAGTATTTCTGTTTATTAGCTTAGCTCCTCGTTTTGTTTTGCACTTCATGTGTTGTGCTTTGCATTCTAGACTCTTAGATAAATAATTTAGCTTTAGTAGACTGATGCCCTCTGTCCCCATATAAGCAATGATTATACAAATGAGCAAACTCCAAAGTACAGTGGTGCCCCACATAGCGAGCGCCCCGTTTAATGATGAATCCGCATAGCGATGCGGATTTTGCAATCGCAAAAGTGATCGCATTGCGATGTTCTAAATGGCCAAACATCGCATTGCGATGATCGGTAAGTGTTTCGCTTACTGATCTTCGGATTGCGATGTTTTAAAAATAGCTGATTGACGGTTCCAAAATGGCCACTGGGTAAACAAAATGGCTGCCTGCAGCATTTTCGCACGGTTTCCTCAGTTACCGGGCAGCGAAAATGGCGGCCGGATGGAGGATTTCCGCATAGCGGTGAGTTTTTCCCCCATAGGAACACATTAAACGTGTTTTAATGCGTTCCTATGGGGGTTTTTGCCCCGCAGAGCGAGGAATCCGGATAGCGACCTTTTTTTGGAATGGATTAACGTCGCTATGCAGGGCACCACTGTATCTTGTATTTACTCAGCACAAAATAACAATTGTTATTTAGACTTTTATCAGGTATAGGTCTATTATATTTTCTTACCTATCTGCATGGAAATCTTTCCCTCTGGACATGCGATGCAGTCATAACAGCAAAATGGCTCCCCTTCTTTCACTTTCTTGATAAAACCCGGATGGCAGCTCTCAGTACACAGAGAAACAGGTTGCACCTAAACCAGAAATGGAAGAGGAAGAGAATAATGTTGAAAACAATGGTTCTCCAGCTTGTGAGACTATGATGCTGAGTTGTGTTATAAGGCAAATAAATCTAAGGTCACATGCTGTTGCTGCATTCTGTCAAGAATGTCTATATTGAGAATCATTACATTATAGCAATATAGAAATTTACCAGGTTTTTAAAATCTATGCTTTGTGCAAGCATTTTAAAAAAACATACTATGAAATCACATCAGTCACATTGAGCTTTATGTTCTCTTAAATCAGTTAGAGCTGAACTATTCATTTTGTGCCATTGAGACACTGTGCTCCTAATATTTTATATAACTTTGAGTTGAGAAGAATGGGTTTTACAGAATTTAAAATATTTAAAGGCATAAGTATTCCATGAATTCCTTGGGAATGACCCTGAAAACAGGATCAGTATTGAGATATATTACTTCAACAGCCATCCTCCAAAGCACAGAGATGGGACAGCCCTGGTGAAAAGTGTTCCACCAGTCACTTTAATTAGAGTTTAATTAATCACAAAATTGCACTCTCTTTTGACCCTTACCTATATCCCAGACTTTGTGGAAGAGTTTTATGCAGAGAAACTGGGGAAAAACACATCTATTTTTTGACAGAATGCTTTTTTGTTTTTCTATCCCTCCTTCTCCCTCCAAATAACTAACAATTTATTTATTTATTAAAGTTATACCCTGCCCATCTAGACTGAAGTCTACTCTGGGTGGCTAACAATAGTAGATAACAGTAAAAATGATATTATAAAACAAAAACAACAGTAATAATATAGTTCAAGATGGGAAAAATAATCAGGCGATGACAGGAGGAAAAGCCTGCCTAAAGAGCCAGGTCTTAAATTTGCTCTTAAAAACACCCAGCGAGGAAGCCAGACAGATATCTGGGGGCAGACTGTTCCAGAGGCGAGGGGCCACTGCCGAGAAGGCCCAGCTTCTTGTTCTTTCTCTCTGGGCCTCCCTCAGCGTTAGGCCCCTCAGCTGCCCTTCTTGGCTAGTACAAGTTATTCGGGTAGATCTAGGTGGGGAAAGGTGTTCCACTAGAGGTCTTCAGGATTGTTAACAGTGTCATTGGAAGGATTTTGAAAGAGTCCTCTTTCAATTCAGACATTTTCTGAAAACATTGGAAGGAGTCTGATTTGGTTCTGGATTTCAAATTGGTCCGAATGAAGTAGAATATATTTGACACAATAGGTGGTATAATTCTATAGCTGATTATCAGAGAATGAACTGACAATTCAGACACTGAGGGACAGGCTTCTGACACTTTGTTTCATCAATTTATACATTATGCTACTTCCTTTTAAAAACTACTTTATACTTTAAAAATGTAAATGTACCACGCAACCAAGAGCCAATGAATATTTAGAATATTCTACTTATGTATGTAGGGGACGTGGTGGTGCTGTGGGCTAAACCGCAGAAGCCTGTGCTGCAGGGTCAGAAGACCAAGCAGTCGTAAGATCGAATCCACGCGAGGGAGTGAGCTCCCGTTGCCTGTCCCAGCTCCCGCACGCCACGCAACCACAATGAATATTTAGAATATTCTACTTATATATGTAGTATTTCATTCAACATTTCATTCTATTTCCATATGTCTGATGATGTAGACATGCCCACAAAAGCTCACATTAAAATATAATAGTTAACCTCCACGGTGCCACATGTTGTTGTCTTTTTTAAATTTTGTTTTGTTTCTTTGGATCGAGTAGATAAATAGGTACCATCTTGGTGGGAAGGTAAACAGTGTTCCGTGTCTAAATCACACTGGCCATGTGACCACGGAAAGATTGTCTTCGGACAAACGCTGGCTCTATGGCTTGAAGAGCGGGATGAGCGCCGCCCCCTAGAGTCGGACACGACTGGACAAAAATTGTCAAGGGGAACCTTTACCTACTACTTATGTATGTAGTACTTCATTCAACATTTCATTCTATTTCCATGTCTGATGATGTAGACATGTCCACAAAAGCTCACATTAAAATATAATAGTTAGCCTCCAAGGTGCCACATGTTTTTTCTATTTTGTTTTTTGGATTTTGCTTCATATGCTTGCACAAACTAACACAGCTACCTATTCCAAAACTACTTTATACAAGTGCAGCACTGCATAGTAATATAAACTGTCATTATTATTATTACCGACAGTCAGAGTCACTGAAAAGTAAGGCTGCAATCCTTGACACTCCTACTAGAGATATGGGGGAAAATGCGCATGTGACTTTTGGAGAATTAGCAGGAAGGAAGTGATGACGAAGAATAACAATCTATAGATCAATAAGTAGCATCTTAGAAAACCAGGAAGGGACAAAATCTGGATCAATCCTATTATTTAAGTTTATTCACCTCCCCATTGGATCAATTTACGTAGACATTATGGGTGCTGAACTTCAAACATTTCCAGAATGTTGACTACTGGAACCCACCTGATTAAACCAATTATTCCATGTGATGAGATCTTTATGGATGGTAAATGCCTGGTCTGGAGAAGCCTGCGGATCCACACTTCCAACTATGATACGATGGTAGGAATTATTTGTGGAAATTATCCAGTTGGTGACATCAAATCCAGCTACTAATCTCTGGTTACTATCAAAGTCAACCCAGTCCCCTGCAGAGTTGTTAAATGAGACCTGTTTCAGAAATTGATGGAGCTGATAGAAAAAGGAAATTGAATAATTTAGAAATGTCTGTCACTGGGTTTTTGAGATTAAAAGCTGCAGAGGCCTACATTTTGATTGAGATGTGCAGAGTTCATGTGATACTTTTATGGGCCACAAACGGAAATCAGATTTGCTCAGTGTGTTTAGATATGTGTATAAACTTGCACTCAGTCTGAGAGTTCACACATATGAGAGGTTTTGCAAGAAGACAACACTATTTTCAGGTAGGTAGATTTCAGCAAATACACCAACACATAAATATTCTCCGGGGGAACTTTTACTGAACAAAAGAGAATCAAAGTATGTGAATTGGTACCGAGGACAGATCAGAAGGAAACAAAAGGTGAACTGCAGGGATATTCATTGATTCATATGTTGCATGTCCCCTCCTATTTTGACTTGCTATGCACCTATGAAGATTTCAATAACGCCATTTACTGGTTTCACTGGTCATAAAGAATGGAAAGCCTTTATAATCAGTTTTCCTTTAATGAGACAGATCAGAAGCAAAAACAGCAAAAAGAGAGAGAGAAGCAATACATACCACACCACCCACAGAAAGAGAGAGAGAGAGAGAGAAGGTGTCTTTAATATGGGAAGGATTTATTTATTTAAATTTATTTTAAACATTTTTATCCCTCCTTTCTCCTTAAAAAATGACCCAAGGCAGCTTGTAGATTACTCTGGTGTTTCCGTGAAAATCAAATATGAGTTCAACATAGACATTTTTAGCAACTTTGGAAAAAA